ATATACATAAAGAGACTAATAATAGTATGTTATGCATCAATAGTAGCAACAGCTTTTCCAGGTTCTGCAGTCATCTGAACAAAATTATAGACATTCAGCACATTCCATTAAAACAAAACAAAACAAAAAAACAAAGAAAATAATATCCAGAAAAGAGCAAAGTTCTGTTGCTGTTGCGGTACCCAGCACCATTTTTTTTTTATTAGCAGCTTAATCATCATATGGAAAGAGAACATTCTAGAGTAATATCATTAAATGTAGCTCTGATAAAGCACGGTCACTACTATGTATCATAAAGCAGGTACAAGATATTTTACGTTCACAGAGATATGATACAGTACCGTCCTACATCAACAATAATAGAATCAGTTTTGCTTTGAAATTTACTTTGTCTGCAAATAAGATTGCTACCCCTGTTCTTCTGGGCTCCTGTCACATGGAGAATTGTTTTGTCTTTTCACTTTCAGTCTGTGGGCTTCTTTTTGCACTAGGTGTGTGAAACATTACTTTAAAACATTTTTATTAAAATATAATAACATCGAAAGCTATTACCCACATTAGCAAACGCTTTTGAGCCCCCATTTTCAGGAACATAAAGCAGTCAGGAAGCTGAGGATTCGGAACGCTGACATCATGTCACCCTCACAGCTGCTTCGGAAGATAGAGCCATTGTTTCTTCGCAACAAGTGAATAAACAGATGGGCTGCCCCACGCCTCACGGCGGCGAAGCCTCGCACTCCTCGTAGCTGGAGAAGGGGGTGTTCCTTCGGCCTACAGGGCAAAGTCAGCTCTCCTGGAGCGTGAATAACGACGTCTTTACCTCACAGGACTGCCCAAAGGCTCTCCGTCAGGTAGCCCCGGGAGAACGCGAAGAGCCATGTCTCATTTATAGAAACGAAAGCAGAGGCTCGGAGACACTGAATGCCTTGCTGGGATCACACGACCGAGCGGTGTGAAACCTCTGGTCGCCAGCTACCGGCCCCCAGGTTAGTACACCCCGGGTCAATCCCGGACGCCGAGTAGCCGCCGACCTCTCCCGCCAGCCTCACATCCGCCGCCAAGGCCGGAAGCCTCCCTTCCGGTTCCCAAGACCGCGCCTCGGAAGTGAGTCACACTGCCAGCACCTAAGATGGCCTAAGAGCGTCCGACGCTGCCGTCAATGAAGATAAAGTGGGCGGGAACCCGGAAGTTGCCCGGCTCGGCCTAGGCAGCTACCGGGGGCGTGGCTTCCGGCGGCCTGTGCCCGTGAGTAGCGGCGGCTGACAGGCGCTCCTCCCCAGACGGCGGTGGCCGGAGCCCGAC